AAAGGTTTTAAAAAAAAATGTCCCCCAAAAGCTGTGTTTTCATTAGTTCCAAGCCGTACTGTTGCCAAACTCACTAGGTTTAAGAGCGTTTTGGGGCTCACATCATAATGTTGTGAAGGGCTGCGTTTTTTGTTGCCACAGGCTGTAGAAGTACCCTAAGCCTTCAAGCGCTCGTGCCTTCCAAGCGTATGTTTACAGCAGTCAAACTTGTGTTTTGTCTTAAGTTATCTTGAGTTACTTATGTTCTATATTGGTGGTGCCTAACTCATTGCAGATATTCCACAAGGATGGTTTGGATGCTTGAGCGCATTCAGGCAACAAAGTCTAGGGCACCTTGGATTTCATTAGTGGTTTGTGTGTGTGGCATGCCGGATTGAAAATGCACGGCCAAATGAGCCTGCCGCATTTGAGCTTCGTTTCGCAAGACATGTCAACTGCCCGAGATGCCAGTCACACACGTTCCCAGTGGTTTTGCCTGATCGCACTCAGTAGCCTTCGCTTGCGCACAACCCGCAGATGTTTTTATTTTGTTTTAATGCCCGCGCGCCGCTCCAAGGAAGGCCGTGCCGAGATGCAGTTGATAATCAAGGATCGGTGGGGGGGCGCAGCATGCTGCAGCCAATGCATCTGGCCTCACGCAGATGCGCAAAGATACATGCGCGGGATTAGTTCGAGTTCCCTGGCTTGCGGTTGCTCATGTCGCATACGCCGTGTTGGGTCGTAGCCACTTTGTTGCAACGTCTTGCAGCCGTGAGGACGTTGATGTGGACGGAAATGGCGCTTTGGATTTTCTTGAATTTTTGGTATTGATGCGTCGCTGCGATGATATCCGAGACGAAGGGGCCCCTCGGATACGCATTCCGACCAGGCATCGAGCAGGACAGCGCACGCAGAGTTGGACAGGATTCAACATCAGCAGAAAGGATATGCCACTGCTTGAATGGCTGAAGAGAGCCAAGATCCATCAAACATTGCTTCACCAGGTTTTTGGGAAGGCTGCAGCCCCGAGGGTTTAGAAAATATTGCAACATACACGCGTGGAAGATTATAGAGAGGGCAGAAAATCATGTGTCCAGAATAGCACAATGTGCAAGAGTAATACCTTTAAAAAGAAGAAATCAAGATATCCTTTGGGAAGCGGGGGCTTCCAGGACTGCCCCTGGTCGAAACAGGCACTTTTGCAATACATTTGCCAAAGATTTGTGTGGACCACATAGCCAAAGGTTCTGGGAGGAAGTGGATAAGTAACTGTCAGTTATCAATAACTTAGCCAAAGTTGCGTGACAGACACCGAAGCTTGTTAAGTTTAGCGGGTGCCAAGGATATACAACTGGAGGGGTTCCTTGGTTTCAACCAGAAGCGCAGCGTGCAGACTGTGATGGCATTTGGTGCTTTTCCTTAGATGGTTTTGGCCATCTTCACGCCCGAGTCATGCGTTTCCCTTTGTTTGCATGCAGTTCTAAGGTTCCGCCCAAGAGTTTTTGGCAGTTTTTCCGTTGCTTTCATTTCTCAGGACCGTGGCTGCCGCTCTAGGCATCGAGCCTGAAGAATTGGAGGGTTTCCGACAGAGCCTCGCTGAATCAAGCAGGGGCTACTTTAGGCTGAAAGTGCTGCTCAGATCATTGGTGGTTGCCGATTGGGACAAGCATTTTAGCCAAGGATTTTCGCGTCGAAAGCCAATTGGGACACTGGGACTGCATGGCAGGAACACGCAGGAAACAAATTCCGAACACACCCGGGTGCAAACCCAGAGTTTCAGTAGGACTATTAGTTAAATATGGGGAAACCACGGTAAATGCCTCAGCAACCCGCCTGTGCTGGATATTTCACGTCGCACCGCCCACCCTGGCGTGGATTCAGGTTGGCGAGTTGACTCCTGAAGCAGTTCTCGAAATTCTTAGAAGCTTGGCTGCGTTTTTGCCTAATCAGCGCTTGGCCTAGAAGAGATTAGAAGAGATACGGAGGATGCTATGCTGTTTCCTTGTTTAGCTGTTTCCAGTGCTGCTTTGGGCCTTCAAGCGCTGCCAAGAGCATTTTCTGCATTCTCCGCCCTGCACTTCCACAGGCAACATCACGGAATTGAGCGATGAGGATGCCCAGGAGCTCAACAAGATCATACGCGAGGCACAGCTTCTAAATGCTTTTAATGTGCCTTTGCAGCGGCTTTAAAGATTGCAGAGAACATCTTTTTCCCCGAGACCGCCTGAGCTTCTTCACATCTTACATCTTCAGACCTTACATCTTCTCAGCTTACATCTTCAGATCTTACATCTGCAGATCTCGCATCTTCAGATCTCACATCTTCAGATCTCACGTCTGCAGATCTTACATCTTCAGATCTTACATCTTCAGATCTTACGGCTGCAGATCTTACATATTCAGATCTTACATCTTTGGATCTTACGTCTGCACATCTCACATCTTCAGATCTTACGTTTGCAGACCTTACATCTTCAGATCTTCTCTGTCTCTCTGTGTTCTCTCGCCTGCTACATTCTTTGCTCGAAAATTGAGCAGTTTTTTTTTGAAACGATGGATGATTTGACACATGCGAAGGCATTTCGCGAAAGCAGAAATGTTAGATATACACGATGGTTATAGCTCTCTGTTTCTGGCACTGGCGCTCTGCGTTTGTCTTCAAACGCCGTTCAAACGTCGCCTCAAAGGTCTTCAAACGCCTCACCAGACGCATGCCTTCCTAGAATTCCAAGCCCTGTTTCGCGAAGCCGGCGAAGCCCGGCGAAGCCCGGCGAAGCCCCCAAAGCCCACGCGAAGCCTCCGTGGGCCAATTTCCTGCCACCCTCTCGCTTCCGCATCTGAGGCTCAAAATCTCACCTTCCTTTCTTCCACCTGCTGAGACATGGTATCTTTCTCTGGCTAGACAAGAGCCCCCGCGAAACCAGTTCGCGAAGGCAAAAGTGTTCCGCGAAGCCGCGCGAAGCCAACCTTTGCACAAATCCATGGCTTGCCTAGCCATTAGCGAAGCCCCGCCATCAGTGTATAGGCTTTTAGCAACCAAAAAAATTACTTTACTTCGTGTGATCCCCACCATGACATTTATACATTTTCTTACTGGCAAATCTTCTGGCATTCTATCTGACATATCTTCTGACATTCTATTTGACATTCTATTTGACATTCTATCTGGCATATCTTCTGGCATATGATCTGGCATATCTTCTGGCATATCTTCTGGCATTCTATCTGGCAAATCTTCTGGCATTCTATCTGGCATATCTTCTGGCATTCTATCTGGCATATCTTCTGGCATAAATTCTGACATATCTTCTGGCATTCTATCTGGCATTCTATCTGGCATATCTTCTGGAATATCTTCTGGCATATCTATCTGGCA